ACGAGTATGGACCAGCAGACAACAGCCGGTTCCTCCGGCGTTGGGCCTCGCGTTTGGCGCTGGAACACAAACGCTCACGTGACGTGGTGTCACGTGCCTCGCACTCTCTTATTGGTCATGGGGGCAGTAGCCCTCCACAGTTCGCAAAGTTATCATGAAACGGAATATAGGCAAGGTCATTCTGGCCTCTTTTTTTACCAAAGTAAAACCCAGACAACACACTAGGTCTTCAACTGGTCGGAACGTTCTCATCCTCTCATGTACATCCTGAGGACGTCTTCAGGTTGTCTTGTAGGGGACTATTCTCAAGGACGGTCCTCAGATTGTCTCGCTGAAGAACGGTTCGTTGAAGAACGTAACAGCGGCGCCACATGCCAAGCATAAAAACGATACCAACAGAACAATACGAAACCAATTAAGGCGAGACGCGGGTCTTAAAATGGTAAAAAATCGCGAAATTTGGGGTTTTTCAAAAATCACATGTTTGGATAGAATATAGTCTGAAGTACCTGCCTGCGAAGTTTCAATGTCCTATTCGACGTCTAAGTATAAAAGAAAACGATAAATACGATGCCTCCGCGACGCTCAAATCGCGAATCCAACGCAAAAAAATAGTCAAACTGCGCGCCCGCGTCGCTTCACGACCGATCGTCGGATCGCGGCCATCTTGGTCTTGTTGGGGAGCTGGTTCTCTTCCCTACGTCCTCATTCCACTCACTACCGCGACAACCTTGGAGAGCGTCCGCATTCCGCGGGTTTTCACGACCGGAATAACGATTGCTCATTGGCCCGCGCGCGTACGTCACGGGTACGTCGTGCCGCGCGCGCCTGTCATAGGCCAAGACGCGCCCCTTTCCACTTTTGCTCCTTTCCTCCTCTTGGCGCGCGCGCGCCTCCAGCAGCGCAAGGAGAGCGTGGAGAAGCGTCGTCTGCTTCGTTTTGGCCTGTCGCTTTGTTCGTTCCGCGGCTGAGTGCACGTTGTTTCGAAATCGTTTACGTTCGCGCGTTCGCGTCGGACATCGTTGGTTTCTCGCTACGAAGTTGCGGGAGTTTTATTTCGAGCGATCGAGATGCCGGGGGACTCTCGATTGAAAGAGAGTACGCGGCGGACGTTCGGGAGGAAGACGCAACGTGCGTGGAACAAGCGGAGGACATCACCTGCAAGTGCGCCGCTACGATCTGCGCCACTGCCGAACGCATTGGATCTGCCGGGACCATCGGCTAGCCTTCCCGTTGACGATGCTGCGGCCTCAAGCTCTGGTCCGGATGGCTCAAGTTTTGCCGGCACCACTCGCGTCGACTCTACCTACTACTCTACGGCCGAGCAAGCGCAGCGCGCCGAGCGATCGGAGCAAAGCAAGCGCGTTTTATCGGAGAAGTCGGCGACCCAGCGGAAGTTCGATCTGCTTGAAGTCAACGGATCATGCCAAACAAGCGATGCCGGGACCCAGTTTGTCATCGTTGACATGAAAGTTTTCAACGACCTCTTCGCCCACGCGAGGTGTGGAAGCTGCGGTGTGGGATCTCTCACACTCAGCAAGGCCGCGGACAAGGAGTACGGCTTGGCCGTCAAGCTTGTGCTCGTCTGCAGCACTTGCGACTTCCAGAAGAAGCAGTTCTCCTCTCCCAGGGTTGCTGGAACAGCAAAGATCACTCCCTTTGAAGTGAACATGAGGGCCATGAAGGGGATCCAATCCATTGGCAAAGGAGTGACAGCCTTGGCAGACTTCTGTGCCTCCATGAACATTTCTCATCGGGGCCTGCACCACAAGACGTACCAGGGACACCTGAAAACGCTTGTGCGGGCATGTGAGAATGCAGCAACCGACAGAGAAGCCGCCAGTGTTGCTGTCGTCAAGGGGCTCTACACAGGCTTTATGAACCCCATTGGCAACATCGATGTCATCTTCGACGGATCATGGATGACCCGAGGACGCAGCTCCCACATTGGTGTAGGCTGCATTGTGGAGTTGTACTCTGGCCTCGTCATCGACCATGTTGTGTACTCCAACTTCTGCCTTGGATGTGCCTTGGGACCGGAGCCCGAGGACGATGGCTACAGCGAGTGGTACGCAACCCACGACTGCCAGAGGAACATTGACTGCAATGCTGGCCGTATGGAGGTGGAGGCTGCGCTCACAATGTTCCAGAGGTCTCTGACCAAGCATGGTCTCCGCTACACCACCGTCCTTTCGGATGGGGACAGCCGGACATTCCATGCCTTGTCTGAAGCGAAGGTTTACGGCTTCATCAAGATAGAGAAGAAGGACTGCGTGAACCACGTCCACAAGCGGATGGGAGCTGCCTTGCGCAACGTTGTTGAGAAGAAGAAGGCACAAGGCGAGTCACTTGGTGGGAGAGGAAAGCTGACACAGGAAAAGATCAAGAAGATCACTAACTATTACGGCTATGCTCTCAGGAGCAACAGCCATGACGTTCCAGGGATGAAGAGGGCGGTGGAAGCCACACTCCTGCACATGACCTCCACAGACGGCGCCCCAGACCACAGCAAGTGCCCCGAGGGAGCGGAGTCCTGGTGCAAGTACAACAGGGCCTTGGCAAACAGTGAGCCTCCACCGCCGCACAAGAATCCTCTTCCGGATTGTGTTCGGGCTGCACTGGAGCCAGTGTTTGAAAGGCTCAGCAATGAAGACCTGTTGGCACGGTGTAGTGAGGGAAAGACGCAGAATGCCAGTGAGAGCCTGCACTCGGTGATCTGGACGCAGACTTCAAAGAATGCGAATGCCTCCCTGGACAGCGTGAAGAGGGCTGCGGCTGAAGCTGTTGCTGTCTACAACCAGGGAAGGAGAGCGACCAACGAGTCCATTGCTGCAGGCCTGGGCTACGCCACCGGTGACTGCCTTGTCCGCCGAAGCATCGAAAAGGACAGTCTCCGTTTACGTAAAGCAAACGCGGTGCACCAGAGCAGCAGTAGCGTGAAGGAAAGGTTCTCCAAGCGACACCAGGCAGGAGCATCACGAGATTACAGCCCAGGACAGCTGTAATGGCTTTTTCCAGTGCCATGTGGAACAAAGGCCTTTTTCAGGGCCAAACAAAATTACGTTTGGAGCTTGAAACTCTTGCTCGCCTCTCCCGTTGTCCAAAGTTGTCGGCTCATCACTTTAGAAGCAATTTTTAGCCTATATCAGTAATTCTTCACCATTTTTGCAATCTTCTCAAAAACAAATTATTGCAATTTTTAAAATTATTTGTTCAGAATGCACTACACTACATCTTGATAACTATTATTGCGTAAGGGTTTTCACATAATTTATTGTAGTCAGCGTCGAAACAGGAAAATGTGATTTTTATCAACATTTCACTCGTTCTTTACTTCTTTCATATTTTTTTCCTAATGTTCCCATAAATGGATTACATCATCTTTTATGTCAAGTTGTTCATGAAGACTTACACTACACCTTGGTGGCAATTATTATTTATCATTGTTCACACAATTTTCTATGTTCAATGTCAAAACTTTAACTTTGATTTTCTCATCTTCATGTTTTTTGTCAACGTGCTTAGCCTTACGGGGGTTTTCATGAGGTTTTTATCGTAGCATTTTGAAACTTTTTATACCGTTTTATTCAGAAAGGACTGGACTATGGAGTAAAGCTATTTTTTTGCAGTTTATAATGACAACGAAAATTTTATGATAAATAATGCGACCTCATTAGTGTCATAATTAGCATAATTAGTACATTTTTGTATTATAATGTAATTTTGTGAAAATATAAATAGCTTTATAATGCATGGCAGACCTTTAGCTATGCATCTACATCAATAAAAAAAAATATTTTTGTTCAAAATGGCCTTAACGACCCGTAAGAAATTAACCAAATTAGGCAACACTATTTTTTATAACTTGAAAACTAATTGAGATATTTTGAAACTGATTTCATATTTGAAGTGAGGAAGAAGGAACACATATGCACAGTGATTTTCATTAGTATAGCTGCAAAAATAAAATAGTCCATTTTAGAACCAGTGTCTCGCCTTAACAAGTTTTATGTTTCTAAACATTTTAAATAAACAAATTTAATTTATTTAAAAATATCAAAAACATTTGTCACATCTAAGTTTAATGCATACTATACTTATTCATTGTGGAACTAGCTAAATAGGCTACATCAGTATGAGACACCAACCGCAACCGTTTAAAAGTGCAGGCCAATCGCACGAAAGAAATGGCATTTTCCCAACGTATCCTGTCAGAGAGTTTTCAATAAAGAGCAGGAAGCTGGGAAAAGGATAAGCAGATGTCAATTTTATTTTCATCACATCTTGGGCGCAGTTTGTTAACAAAGGTTAACGCTTTAACGTCTGCTCGGCTCATCTCCTGTCCGGCGTTCGCTCTACTAAGTGGAAAAAGTGAAGGGCTTTGCAAGAGGCGCTCGTCCCTCCTTTCTTTACATGAGACAGGGTATAGTAGCGCAGCAGATAGCACTTGCCCAGGGCCTCAAACTTAGTGGTGTTGTATCGATGAGCTTTTCTGTTCTTAAACACCAATCCTCTTCTAGCAAAATAAAGTTTTGCCGCGCTGTGCCTACACTTCGTGTTGCAGTCCATCGAACATCTCTATAAACAGCGGTGCAAGACAAAAGTGGTCTTCATCGGGAATGCAGGCAACAGCGGACTTCCCCACTAAGACTGCTATACTCCATTTGCCGTCAAGATGACAGGGCGGCGTAAGCTTCCTTCTCACTAAACCAATAGACCTGTTGCAAAACGTACAGCACCACGACGGCAGAGAATTTTGGGAACCCTCGGTACAGATCACGCGCTTTCTCGTTGCGCCTCCGCGCAGCGTCCCGGCAGCTACCGCCAGCAGCCGTTGCAGTCATCCGCCATCCTGCCCACCTGCCGAGTCATACGTCGTTGGCTACGTACTGTATCTGTCAGCGTAAAGTCATCGTGACAGGCGAACTTATTTGAATATGTTATTCGTCGTAACTTATTTCCCTTGTACTGAAGTATCACCGAATCCACTTATTTTGTATCGCAACCGTGGCAGGTTTCGACCAGGTTCAACAAAGCGTTGGTGCAGCAGACGACAGAGCTGGTACAAGGGAGAGGGATGAGAAAGGGGCAGCCGTTGGCTCGTCACTCGCCAAACCAACGCCAGACTCAGCGGCTCAGAAGTTGTTGCTGTGGTAACCTGCGCCTGCTCGCTTATGCCAGATAGTCACGTGGTAGCCGGAGGAGGGGCATACCAAGGACTCCCATTATTCGTCGCACAGCGCGCGCGGGGTTTTGGAATTTTTGCAAGGGGTCTATTGATCACCTGCCTTTGATCGCCTTACCCCACTCTGTGCAATGCAACGTTGAGAGAGACGATCACGGTTCGCGAGACAGACAGCCGACCGATACAAGTGTGTAGTTTCCAGCGAACAAAGTTTAGTGGATGCAGCCATGAGCCACCAGGTCGCCCTTCTTCGCGAAAGACTTCCCGCACACACCGCAGACGTATGGACGCCCGTCCGTGTGCTTTCGCATGTGCCTGACGAGCTGGTTTGCAGCCGGGAACCTCTGCCCACACACTTCGCATCCGAACGGCCGCTCGCCAGAGTGCCTCCGCTGGTGCTCCACCAGGCTCGTCTTCTGCGAGAAGGCACTGCCGCATATCTGGCACCAGAACGGCTTCTCCCGCGTGTGGACCCGCTCGTGCCGGGACACGTTGGTTCTGTCGCTGGTGTAAGGGCAGAAGCGACACTGGTGCTGGCCTCCTTTCCACCGGTGCATCAACCTCCGGTGCATCGACAGGTGACTCCGAGAGGAGAACGTTGCGCCGCACTGGGGGCAGGTACAGCCGCCGCCCATCGCCGCGCAGGCGGCGTCTCCGAGCTCTGTTGAGAGATGGCAAAGAAGCAAAGTTGCTCGTTCAAGGCTCTACTGGAAGACTGTTTTCTGCCTTGCAGGAAGCCTTCCCAGAGTGACTGAATTCTCGCACTATGCTCTCCCGCTTGCCCAGAAGAAGAGACTCTGAGGGTTAAACGCCTCCGATAACAGGTCGTAGTCCTGGATTTTCAACCTCACCTAAAGAAACAAATACATGAATAGGACACTAGGGTTGAGTCATCATTCAAGGTTAGAGTGTGCAAAAAGCTAGCGATGCCATTCGGTGCTTGGCAAGTGCATCCTAAAATGGCACAAAATGATGCAAACAACCTTGCAAGGGTGCCCATTTACTTTACGTGCTAATGAATGTAACTGCAGGCTTACACTTTTTAAGTGCACAACTTATTTCAAAAATTAAGCGATGAAAGGTGGTTACAGGATGCTCGACTGAATTCACAAAATACTGTTAGAATTTAGCCTCTTCGAGAAAGTTGCAGACTAATCCAATACGCTTGTTACGTGACAAATTGCTAGAAAATTGCTTCTTTGGACCAGCTTATAAAAATAGTTGCACAAAGCATAACAACTATGCATTTGAGTTAGTGTCAAAAGGCATTGTTCATTGTTGCAAAACCCCAATTCCTACTAATTCTATAAATTGTCAATAAAGTGAGACAAAAATAAATGTGGGCAGCACAAAAACAACACCAATATAAAATTAAATAAATAATGTTTCTGTTGTTCCCTTATAAAAACATTACTAATTGCAATTGATTCTATGCAGGAAATTGTTTGGAAACAAAAGTCAGCTTTGGAAATGTGATGCACCATTCAAGAAAATTTGCACATCATAAACAGATTTTATTTAGCTGAAAATACTAACTGTATCTTCACAATGCCCATATATCCCTTGTAATTCATCAGCAACACAAAGGCGGCATCTGTACAAACCATTGACTCATGAGGATAGACGATTAATCTAACTTCAGAAACGTAGTAAATGCTAGATTTGTTCCTTTTATGTCATTATGGGTAGGTCTTTTTTCTTTCAATTTGTAGTGCAGCCAGCCTGCTCCTACGTACGTGAAGGCATGAACAGCTTATGACACACCAGAACAGTTTGTGTTACAGAGGCAATTTTATGTCTTCTGTATTTACAGTGTTGTAACTGCTCAAAATAGGGCAAGAACAATTGCACACCATTCTTCAGCCCCTTCATATTTTTCAATACATGCAAACGAAGCAAAGCCAACTTCATTGAGACAGCTCATTGTCATTATGGGGTGGAGGATGTGATTGAAATCATTCACGTCCACCCCACAATGACAGAATGTAAAAGTGCATATAACTGTATATGCATATAACTGTGCCCATAATTTACTCAACTATCAGACATTGTGACAAGGCTTTCCGGCAGTTCATTGGACAAAGAAATACATTATTTCCGAGCACTTGAGACTCGAGAGTGCTTTGAAGGGGCGGTGCGACGATTTTAACATTGCAAGGGTCTGCAGCATGTTACTTCTATCTTGTTTATCTTCGCACAAGTATAAGAAAGCGCTCTGCTCTCTCCAAGATTACTACGATTCCACTGTGCATTCACAAAGCAAAAAAAAGTTGGGGCTCCAATCCATGCTGCGAAGGTGGTTGGCCAGCAAAGCTGTGGTATCACCTGCAATGATGACAAAAGTAAATGCGCTGTACCAAAACTTTTTTATATATATATGAACGACCTCATTTGCCGCCATTGCCGTACGTGGTAGCTTATGCAACAGCAATTTTTACCGAGAAACGCAGGCGGCGTGCTTAGCATCGTTTGTGCACGCCTTATCATCTATCATGTGGTTTTGACACTTGCTTTGTGGTTTTCTGATTCAAACAAGTGTCAAAACCAGATGATAGATGATAAAGTGCACATGAATGATGATAAGACGAGTGTTGGTTTTCCGTCGACTAGTGTTCTCGCTACGGAAACAAAAAAAACCCCCGACCAACGAGTCATATACATACATCATGTCATTATCACTACACAACCAATTCGTTTCATTTCTTTAAATAAAAACTAGCACACATAAGGAGAAATAATTTTCTGTTCTCCATTCTGTAAGTGACTAACACTAATGGGCCGAAGTCCAAAAATTGTTAGGTTTGAACTCGCAATAAATGACAATAAATTACAACAGTTTACAATAAATTATGCTGGAACTGACCAGAGAAGCTTTCGTCAAACATGCCCAACCATTAAAAAGTGCTTGATTTTCAAATGCGCATGCAGAGGGAACACTTTAGAAGCCAAAGTGCATCTATTCTCCTATGAATTCAGTTACTTTACCATATAATGTGTCCTGTCAAGTTTACATAACATAAGTTCTGGACAAACTAATATCAAGACACTTATCCCACCATTACCCTGCTTACACTGCAGATTATTGAAAACTGTCCTAAAGCAAAAAATATCCATACAGGATTAATTCTTCTACATGGCAACTATCAGGTTTTCTCATTCTTTTCAAACAAACCATAAAACAGGTAATTTAACCTTGCACCTAAAAAGAGATAGAAAATAATGTATTGTATTGAAAGCAAAGGATCAGTAGCCAAAATCAAATCAACAACCTAAGGTAATGCCACGCAAGCCTTACATTGGCTTGGGCAGACCTACTCTCTTGTAGCACCTTATTTGCTGAATAAAGTGATTATTATAAAAGCTACAGGAGATGAATCAGTTTAAGAGTAATCTAACGGAATATGTCAGCATGTGTTGCAAGGTAAAGTGCGACAAATACAAAAAGAAATGTTCAACAGATCATACACCATGTCAGAAAAATGACCCAATCTGACCAGTCACGCAGTTACGGGGATGCCAAGGCTTGATCTGCACCTGGTTGGTTCAAGTTTCTTAAAGATTCTGTAATACGTTGCGTTGTGCTTCGCCCTTTAGACACTACTGGCTACACAATAAGTGCAAATGGTGCCAAAAGCCCTTTCCAGATTGTTCTGCCATGCAATCTTTTAGTACTATGGCATCACCTGTGGGAATGAAATTATCACGTGAAAAGTACCAAAGATGCACATTGATCAAATATTTAGGATGCGTATACAGTTGAACCTCGATTAACGAAACCCGATTTTATGAATTTTCCAATTTAAGAAACAAATTCGGATTCCCCGCGCTGCCCACGCCCGAAGAATGTCTTTCTCGATTTTACGAAGTTCCCGATTTAACGAAATAATTAGCGGGTCCCGGTGACTTCGTTAAATCGAGGTTCAACCGTACATCTCTTTGTTATGCACAGAAATACAAAGCTGTCATTCTACGCACAATCCACGCTGCTGTTTGCATCCATTGTTAGGGGCCCTGCACCTCTGAAGAGATGGAAGGGTCTCCGGAGGTCCCGACGAATTGTTTGTTGAGCCGCACTATGCAGAGCAAATGCAGACCTTTTTTTAAAAAAAAAAAATATGCTTGCTTTTTTTTTTGCATTGCAATGCAACCGAGCTTGAAGTTTGACTACAATCAAAGAGCTGGAAATATTTTGAACATTTCTGTTGTGCTCCCTCTGCACGAAAGTGCAATCTCACATGGATGTGCGCTCCATCGACTCTTGTTAAACAAGTCTTTAGTTAGCGACAGGATAAGAATGGCAAAGAGGTCTTTCGGTCGTCCCACCTTCCAGCACAAGCTTCCCACCCTCGATAACACTGCAGCGCCTCGTACGCGTCAAGCATGCAAAACACGGGGGAAGGCAAGGAGTGCACGCTGGAGGCTAAACATCTAAGAGAGGTATCCTGCTGTGTTATCCGGCCAGTGACTATCGGAGGAAGGTGCTTTACCACACCTGGCGTCCGATTTTGGTCACCGCCGGAGTGAGATCGAGATCTAATTCGCCTCTCGTGGTGCGAGCAAAGATGGCATTCACAGATGATTCGTCTGGTAACGCGAGTGAAGAATGCGGTTTGTCTGCTACGAAACTCAATTGCAGACTGAAATAAAAAGAGAAAACATTATACATCGTTGCTAACAGATGGAGAAAAAAAGCAGATGGTCTCCTACGAACCAAGCGCTGCGACGAAGCGAGATCAGACGCGGGCTTAAATTATCAGCAGCCGAGAGCGCTCTTGCCTTCACCGAAATCGAACCCCTGGTTACAGCATAGGTCCTCCTTGGCACTAGCAGAGTGCAAAAATTACAACTATCATGTGGCAAAGAAGACAGAGCAACGAAAAAACATATTCCTTTATTGTGGTATTTTTCGTAGGAAGGCATGACATGAAGCTAAGTCATTTTTACAATATCTTTACGTGTTCTCCATTTAGGCACAGCTCTAATTTAACAATTCCAAATCCTGCTAGTTAAAGACCAACAGACGAAACAGAGTCGTAATTTCGGTCAGGAATACTTGCAGCAGTTGGGTCCAGTCATCTGCAAACTAAAGACACCTGTTACATTTCCCACAGACATGTAGATTTCATGCAGTACACAAACAATGACTTTTGTACACCTAACTGTTTCATTACTTTCAAATAATGTTGCCTTTAAAAGATGTATTAGTTCTTAGAATAGAAGGATGACTATTGGGTGGTTCAATTTTGATTTCAACAAACATCTCGGGTGCGTGCTGGATATGGTTTGCTATTGTTTACTTCAGGTTTCAGCTGGGCTTCAAAGAAACCGGGTAGTGCCAGCATCAGACGTGCTGCATCATTTAGAACAGGTCACTTTTCAGTGCCTCCAAGAAGGAATATTGACAAGACGTACAGATAATGCACTGTAAATTTATACAATGCCTCGTGTATTGTATTAATTTATGCAGACCTTTTTGCCAACAAGCACACTTGCACTGTGTTGGGAATGTTTTCTCCTTAGTTTCTACTTTGGCAAGCCAGACATCCATCCGGCTGCTCAGAGGATGTTCCATGGGAAAGTCGATCAGACAGCAAGAAAGGGTACTTGGAACAACATCCATTGCAGAAATCTGCAACTCTTACCAATTCTGAAACTGCTTTCTGCCCACAGAGAACAGCAGTATGCGGAGAGCAAGTCATCTTTTTCTTGCGCAAAGGTTGCGGTGAAGTCAGATCGATGCAGAGTTTTTGATTTACTTTGATTGGAAGGGTAGGGGGTAGACTTTAATGCTAGATGCCTTGAAGTCTACCCACTGTCCTTCCATCGAAACAATCGGAGCTCGGCATTCTGAAGTCACCGCAACGCCTGCGCAAGAAGCAGCCAAACTTGTGCTCCGCATATGTCTGTACAGTTGCACTTGAATTTTAAAGCCTGGTTGATGAGCTTTTTCTCGGTTTCACGTGCACATTGTACTCCCCTAGTGCTTGCAAGGAAAGGTTTCTAGGGCAGCATTGATGGGATTTCCAGAAAAAGACTGTCCTCTACCAAGGACGTTCACACATCCCCACAAGGCACAAAACACATGACTGCGTTGTCTATACTCCGTTTCACGATAACTGGCAAACTGTGGAGGCTATGGCCACCGTGACTCAATAAGAGCGTCGGAGCAAGGAACGTGACCCGACGTCATGGGAGCGTGTGTATCACTGCGCCAAATGCGAGGCTCAAAGGAAACTGCTGTCGTCTGCTATTCAAGAGTCGTCTGCTATTCAAGAGTCGTCTGCTTCAAAAACAACTTTGGATGAACGTCCAATGCCGCAACATTGCCGTCGCTAGAGTAGTGAGCTCTTCGGGAACCATTCACGAGACGAACATACGCTCAATTTAACTGCGAATCTGTGACAGGTGCTAATGCCAAGACAGTGTTTTGAGCAGAAGCGGTCGATTATGCGGCTAGTGCCAACTAGCTCAACTCAAACCGATAATCGCTTCGTAGCTTGGGCGCAAATGTGAATGTGTGCGTACTGCTGCTCCGTGTATGCGCGGTGCAGGTTTATATGCTTGCACTGCAGCCACGAGTGATTGCATCGTAGCTTGGGTACAAATGTGAATGTGTGCATACTGCCGCACCGTGTATGCGCAGCCTGGGTTTATCTGCTTGCTAGGACGATGTCTATTGCAACCTCTAGGGTGATCTCAAGGACGACGTTCTAGAGGTCGAAATCAAATGGGACGAAGTCAAAGACGACGTCTAGAACAACCTCTAGTACCACGCCCTAGAGGACGATATTACAGACGACGTCTAGGACGCTGAGGGCGACATCCGCATACGTGCGGCGCCTGCGTATGTGGACGTCCTGCATATCCGGAGG